GTGAGTGTGTGTGAGTGTGTGAGTGTGTGTGAGTGTGTGTGTGTGTGTGAGTGTGTGAGAGAGCGAGTGGAAGGAAGTCTCCCGTCAGGTGTGTTTTGTAAACACCGGTGTGTGTCCGTATGCTCACTGTGATCTCCTCGTGTTTTGAGTGTCTGAAATCTGTGAGGAATAATGTCTGTTGTTTAAATGAATATTGACTATTTAAACATAACTCTGTCCTGATATATCGTATTATAACTTTTAACATTTTTATACAAATAAGAGGAATTTTACATTTCTAAAATCCATTTTGGTTATAGAGAATAGTTGTAGCTGTGATTGTTCAACTGCATTGTAAAACGTGTTCATTATTCAAACAATGTGACAAAAAAATTCTAAATATTGAACAATCGTTATTAAAAAAACGTGCCTCAACAATTTTTCAAATATTTAATAATCATCATGCAAACAATGTGCTGCAACAATTTTGAATAATCTTACATAATCATTATTCAAATAATATGCTGTAGTAATTTTCTAAATATTGAATTATTTTAAAAATGTGACAATTTTCTAAATATTGAACAATTATTCAAATAATGAAACGCATTAATTTTCTAAATATGAAATAATTATTATTTAAATAATGTGACAATTTTCTAAATATTGAACAATAGTTAATCAAATAATGTGATGCTATAATTTTCTAAATATTGAATAATCATTGTTCAAATAATGCGATTGTTCAACTGTATGTAGATGAGTTCAAAATGAGTTGTTTGATTTAATTGTGTGTGCAACATTCTGGAGTTTCTTGCTTTAGTTTGATGAACTGAATTGAATATTTTAGTTTAAGAATGCGTTTATACAGAATAGCTTGTGGAATGATAAACTTCTGACTGGAGAAATTGAAATTGAGAAAAGTGTTGAGCTCTTCTGCAGCCTCGGCACACACGGATGTGTTTGAGTTTGTGCTTTGCTCAGGGTCACGACTCTTTGCTCTCACACATATGCTCTGTTTTCCTTAAAACTCACATCTCACAGACAAACATACTGACCCTGAGAACATCACCCGAAACCTGCTGGAGAATCAATCATTTTCTACATTTTGAACATTTATTATTCAAAAAATGTGACAAAATAATTTTATAAATATTGACCAGTTATTATCCAGATGTGCCTCAACAGTTTTTTTGAAATATTGAATAATAACTATTCAAATAATGTGCTGCAATAATGTTCTACGTATGGAACAGTCATTATTAAAATAATGTGCTGGAATAATTTTCTAAATAATTGAACAATCATTATTCAATTAATGTGTTGTCAAATATTTAATTGAACATTACCCACATTCTGCTGACCTGAAATCATCTGCTGATTCTGACACATTTAAATTCAGAGCCTCAAAGAAGTTTTAGTACCTTCATGTCCAGATTTCAGTGTTATGTGTGTGTGCGAGTGTGTGAGTGTGTGTGTGTGTGTGTGTGAGTGTGGTGTGTGTGTGAGTGTGTGGTGTGTCTGTGAGTGTGTGTGTGTGTGTGTGTGTGTGTGTGTGGTGTGTGTGTGAGTGTGTGAGTGGTGTGTGTGAGTGTGTGTGTGTGTGGGTGTGTCTGTGAGTGTGTGTGTGTGTGTGTACACAGTGAAATCAGTCCCGTTTCAAACGAGGGGTGACACGGACTCCAGAAATTGGATTTGGTGACCTCCTCCCTCTGTCTCCTTCTGTCTCTCCTCCGTCTGTGTGTGTTTGTTAAGTGAGCTTTAATTGAATTAAATTAAAGGTTCTGTGGGTCTCTGACACACAAGCTCTGCCACGGCATTCTGGGTAAAGTGTTCACACACACTCACACGCACACATGCACACACACACACGCACACACACTCACTTGTGCTGTCTGTTCATGGCGGCCACCATGAGAGGCGTCCAGCCCAAACGGTGTCGACTGTTCGGATCAACTCCCTGCGCCAACAACCTGAGAGAGAGAGAGAGAGAGTTAGTGAGAATACTGCACAGGACGGACAGAAAGACCTGCCCTGAGGCCATGAGTGTGTGTGTGAGTGAGTGAGTGAGTGAGTGAGTGAGTGAGTGAGTGAGTGTGTGTGTGTGTTTACAGTCAACAGTGAGCTGCGACACTTACTCGTCCTCACCAGACTGACCTCTAACTTAAAACACTTAACACATCTGGTGTCTCTCACACACACACACACACACACACACACACACACACAGCCATCTGCACTATTTGCCTTTCGGGCCCAAACGGCAGAAACCCAAAGCACTCTCACACACACTCGACGGCTTCTTCAGTTTCTGACAGACGTCCAGACGCTCAGCATACGAGTCTCAGCAGGGTTACTATATCAATCTTGGTTACTACACTAGAGTTTTGTTGTAACTTGAAATATATCTGAAAAACTATAACAACATCTCAGTGACACTAAAATAACCCTGGAACTCGGTGATGAACATCTTTCTGATTCTTTTCAAATGCTGATTACGTCTAGATACGAAAATCCACCATAAAAATATTTGTACATTTTTATAACCACAATAACAGAGTATAATAAACATTTCAATATTTATTATGCAAAAACAAATCATATCAATTTTTGCACAATTTGTCTATTCAACATTTCCTACACAAAGTCTACAATAATTCCCAACAAACAAACAATAAATAAATAGAACGATAGATGGATGGATGGATTGCAAAAGTGCAAAAATATAAAAATAAATAAATATGATTAAAATAAACATAAGAATAAACCTTTATCTCCTGCTCCTGTCTCTCAAAGCTCATCTTTGTTGATAAATAAATATATATCTTCACAGAATAATTATTATTCTATGGAAGCCATTTCCGCCACTGAATTTTTTTTTTTTTTAATAAATCAATAAAAAATTGGATAAAATAATTAAAAATAAACAAAACAAATAAGTAATAAATCCAACAGTGGATAGGGGAAAAAAAATCATAATGTAACTTTAGTATAAATTCGGTCTTTATACAGACGATATAGATGCCTTTTACAAAAAAAACTGAAAAACATGGAATAATTTAAATTTGTTTGTTTTTTGTAACATTATAATGCATTTAGCATCATTTTTTTTGCGATTTAATGTGTCTTAGCTGAATAAAAGCATCAATTTGATGAGAAAAGAGGCAACAGAACTGATATGATGTCCATCTCACCTGCTCAGCTGCTCAGTGTGACTGGATCTGGCAGCATCCAGAAGAGCCTCCGCTGCAGACACACAGAGATAAACGCCTTATAATGACACTAAACACAGGATCTGCGAGCGGGAATGTGGATTTTATTATTATAACGCTGAATAGAGAGTGTGTGCAGTGTTAGGACCTTTATCATCGCTGTCCTTCTTAAAGCAGAGGGCGAGGGCCGCGGCTGAAATGACGCCCGCGACGCCCGCAGCATCAGCGGCCTCTGCGCGGCTCTCGTGTCCGGCCCTGTGGCGCCCCGCGGCGGTCAGACTCGCCCAGCTGCTCCGGCGGCCCTCCAGGCTCACGCGCCACCTGCTGGCCAAATGATGGTACTGCACGCGCGACTCCTCGCTCGCGACGCTCTTCCTGGACGCTCGCGGACCGCTGGCCACCGGACTCCGGTTCGGTTCGAGCTCACAGAGGTTTCGGAAGCGGGAGGCCTCGCCGTGGCCGGTCTGCAGCGCGCGGCACGGCGACAGACTGCGCGACCTTCGCATCAGGACGCGCGCCGGTACCGACGACAGGAACATCGCGAGCGTGCGAGCTGACGCGGCAGTAACAACGGGTTCCGTGAACAGATGAGACGGTGTGTTTAGTTTTAGTGCTGCTGTGATCTCGCCGACAGCCGGTTTCTGGTTTTAAGGTCAGCAGGTGAATCAGAGCTCGAGAGCGGAAGCGTGTGTCCGGTAAATGAAAAACATCCGCCGAGCGCGAGGGATCATGGGAAGTGTAGTTTAATAACGTCACGTCGCTACCGCAGCGCATACACTCAGAAAGGTGTTTTGTTTTATTTTATTTACATTTTTTATTTTGTTTTATTTCATTTTATTATATTATTTATTTGATTTTATTGTTTTTTTCTGATGATTTAAATGTTGTAATAATAATAAAATTTTTGGACATGCGTATATACATATATTTTTAAATAGATTTGTCTATTATATTTGATTGATAATAGATACTTTTTTTTCTGCTTCAGCTCAAGGTTTCATTTTAGTATATTGTATTTAAACCTTTAAATAACCCATGAAAACATAGATCATTTTAATTTTTTTAATTAGAATTATAAAAGGGTTTAATTATAATTATAAAAAAATATATTTTCAGCTTTTAGATTTTCTTGCAAATGAGCTAGAATTTTTTATATTTTCTTTCCAAAATTAATCAAGCTGATTGACGATAGATTGATTTTTCTGCTTGAGCTCAAGGTTTGATATTATAATATTATATGAATAATATATCACTATTAGTGGGCCTGTGTTTTATTATAGGTCATGATGCGTGACCCTTACATTAGATTCATCATATCTGGGGGTTTGAAAATATCGAAAAGCCCTGATTTAATGCCCTGAGTAATTAAAAGAATTTTGAATTAGATTTTTTTTGTAACATTATAGGTTTTCAGTGCCATTTAAAAAATATATTTTTTTTAATCTAAAACTTAAAAAAACATGCATAGGTATAATGCAAAAAAACACACACAAAAAACACCGTTTTTGTAAATTAATCACAGTTTTAATTTTCCTTTCCAACTGGATCAAGATGAGAGGCGAAAGATCCAATTTTCTGCTTCAGCTCAGAGTTTGATTATAATATTTTATTATTGTATTATTATTGAATCACCATTATCAAGCCCATTTATTATTATATGTTATGAGCATGTGACGCGTGTGACCTGCAGGTGGCGCCTAAACTCACAAAATACATGAGCAACACTTTCTCAGCAGCCAACAGATCAACAAAAGCAGAATATTCATGCAAATATGAATAATAGACTTAAATGCACTCAAAATCTCTTCATAAAATGAGATCATTGACATTAAATGCTTACCTTTTTTTTTTTTGCATGACAGTCCAAAGTACTCGAACCGCACACATATATTATAATTTCTGATCTTCAGACATCAGTTGAGTTTATGAGATTGAGATATGAGAATAACACACGCTGCATGCAGAGTAAATGTGTGTTTGGCATCAGATGAGGTGTTTTCGTGATCTCACTGATGTTTCTGTCAGGTGACTGTGGTTTGATGAAAGAAATAACACTTTCTCAGCAGCCAACAGATCAACAAAAGCAGAATATTCATGCAAATATGAATAATAGACTTAAATGCAGTCAAAATCTCTTCATAAAATGAGATCATTGACATTAAATGCTTACCTTCTTTTTTTTTGCATGACAGTCCAAAGTACTCGAACCGCACACATATATTATAATTTCTGATCTTCAGACATCAGTTGAGTTTATGAGATTGAGATATGAGAATAACACACGCTGCATGCAGAGTAAATGTGTGTTTGGCATCAGATGAGGTGTTTTCGTGATCTCACTGATGTTTCTGTCAGGTGACTGTGGTTTGATGAAAGAAATAAAACCCAACATCTCCACGCCTCAGACTTCCTGTGGTGTGTGTCTCACGTCTTCTGCTTCCTATTATTAAAACATAAATTAGCACAGTGGCATTGAAATACTTTAAATCATGATTTTTGCTCAGTGTGTTTCAATTGAGTGGATGTTTGAGGTCAGTTCTCTTCAGCACGCTCTCAAACAGTGTGTGATGCTGTTGGCACTGAATCTCTCCTCTTATTATACTCTCAATTAAAATGATATTTAAAAAAAAAAAAAATTATTTACATTAAATTAAAATTAAAATTTATTAAAATATTTTTTATTTATTTAAATTATTGATTTTTTAAAATAACATTTACTATTACATATATTGAATTAATTAATAAATAAATATTTATTTATTTAAATTATTGATGTATTATTGATGTATTAAATGTAATATTAAACACATTTAATTAATGTTTATATTATTATTATGAATACTAATATAAATAAATAGATTCATTTATAAATATTTAAATTATTGATTTCTTACGTGTGTATTAAATGTACTATTAAACACATTTAATTAATGTTTTTTATTTAATAATAATATATTATTATTACTATTATGTATTATATTCACATTAAATGCATTTAATAAAATAAAAAAAAAATTACATTAAATTAAAATTACAATTTATTAAAATATTTATTATTTATTTAAATTATTGATTTTTTAAAATAACATTTACTATTACATATATTGAATTAATTAATAAATAAATATTTATTTATTTAAATTATTGATGTATTATTGATGTATTAAATGTAATATTAAACACATTTAATTAATGTTTATATTATTATTATGAATACTAATATAAATAAATAGATTCATTTATAAATATTTAAATTATTGATTTCTTACGTGTGTATTAAATGTACTATTAAACACATTTAATTAATGTTTTTTATTTAATAATAATATATTATTATTACTATTATGTATTATATTCACATTAAATGCATTTAATAAAATTAACATTTTATAAATAAATAAATATTTTTTATTTATGTATAAAATTTTCTATTAACGCATTTAATGTTTTTATTTAATAAAATATTATTATTAATAGTAGTATTATGTCTCAATCTGTTGATCATTAATCCTGTGAAATAATGGTCAGAAAAATCTATTTTTTTCAGTTGTCTATCAGTCGTCACTGTGTATCAGTATAATAATAATATGTCTTAATAAGATGATCGTTGGAAAATTATTTATTAGCAAGTGCAGATTCTCCTCAGCATTGACATTTTCATGCATTATTTTTGCCTCAGTAAAGTTAAGTAACAGCAATTTTATAAACTTTATGAAGACTTACGGAAGCCTCATGAATTAATTATTTTTCTCGTATATGATGTTCTTTTGTATTAGGAGCGCGACACACGCCTGCATACGAAGTTCAGTTATCACACCCCATACACAAAAGTGCTTAAATCACACCTCATATACATACGAGCGTATGTTTGAGCATCAGACGCGCAGGACGTGAATCAGGGATTGAGAGAGAGAGAGAGAGCGAGAGAGAGAGAGAGAGAAACCGCCCGTGCGTTTAACGCGCGTCTCCCTCGCGTCAATCATCACGCGACGCGCGTCGGATCACCGGCGGCTGGGAACTCCAAGCGCAAACTCTCCCGTTAGTTTCATCCGGGAGCCGCGGGTTCAGCAGCAGCAGCCGCAGGAAGATGATGTCCGCGGAGGAGGTTCTGGTCCCGGATGACCGAGCCTTCAGCCGGTTCAGAGGCGAGTGTCAGTCCGAGCAGGGCTGGAGTCTCACCTACAGCAGAAACAGCATCTGCGTGTGGATCCAGGTGCTGCAGGAGGAGAAGAGCCTGCACAGGATCAAGGTGAGCCGCGGGTCTGAGGTGGCTCCTGCTGGTCTACAGCTTCATCTCATGCATAGAGTAACCCTGTCCAATGTTTCGAAAATATACTAAATATAAAAGAAAATGTATCATATTGGCTCATATAGTCTGATATAATGAGAATATGGAGGAAAAAAATATGAATTTGCTGCAGATGCTGATATTTATATGATGAAATTCTGATGCTTGTGATGTAAATCAGTGGGATGTTTATAACAGTACAGCACATAAAATGATATAAATATCAGTCATCACTCTTAGGGTTAAAGATTAAAAATAAAAAATAAAATATTAAAAAGCAAGGCAACAAGTTTAAATTTGGTAAATAATATTAAAATAAAATAGAATAAATATTAAATAATAAAATAATATCAAAAAACATTAAAAATACTAAAACTTTAAAATTAAAATTAAAACAATATATATAAAAACTAATAAAAAATATTAAACCTATAATAGTATCCCAAATATCAGTGGTCGCTCTATATCTGCAGTAACATGTCTCAGTAATTACACTAAAAGAGCTTTGGACAAATTGTGTGCAACAGGTTTAACAGCAGAGTTTGATCATGATAGGGTTAAACTCGTCACTGAAGCACTAGTTAGTCACGAGCGTGTGTGTGTTAGCGGTGTGTGTTTAACGGGTCACATCCGGGTGTGTGACGTGCGAGCAGGTTTATCCAGCGGGTGTTGACGCACAGGTACAGGACTGTTTGAACTGTAACGGAGAGCCAGCAGTGTGTTTGTCTTCTCAGACTCACCTGTGTGTGTGTGTGTGTGTGTGTGTGTGTTAGTGTGTGAGAGTTTGTATGTGTGTGTGTGCGTGTGTGAGCGTGTGTGTGTGTGTGTGTGTGTGTGAGAGTGAGCGTGTGTGTGTGTGTGTGTGTGTGAGTGTGTGTGAGAGAGTGTGTGCGTGCGCGTGTGAGAGAGTGTGTGTGTGCTGACGCGTGTTCCTGTGGGGGAAACAGCAGTAAAGCACAATAACACAAAATGCTGAAGTGTGAGAAATACTCTATAGCCTGCAGAACAAAGGCCAGAGAGAACGAGAGCGAGCGAGATTGATTCAGTGAATAAACATTCTCTCTCTCACACATGCACAGTATATGTGCAGACATGTTTACAATAAATATTGCCAACATCATATTATTATTATTATTATTAGTAGTAGTAGCATTAGTATTAGTAGTAGTGAACATTATAATCAGGTTATGTCTGTCACCATCATGAAATTGATGACAAGGGATTCATTTTCATTCAAATACATTCGGTTAACAATTGAATTGCATTGAATTTGACAGTGTAAGCTTAATACACACATCTTAAAGAAATAGTTCATCCATAAATGATCATTCTGCCCTCATGTTGTTACACACCTGTATGACTTTAATTCTTCTTTTAATTTGATTCTTTAATTCTTATTTTGATGAACGTTGGGAACCAAATAACTTTGGACACCATTAACTTTCATTGAATGGACAAAAAACACTGAGACATTTCTCAAAATATCTTGTTTTGTGATCCACACAAGAAAGAAGTTAACTAAACTAAAACTAAAAGGAGAAATGCATGTGTGTGTGAGTGATAAAACACGATCGTCCCTCATGATCAGTGTGTGTTTGTTCTTCATGTCTCTCTGGAGGAACGACGCGTCTCTAGAAACTCGCTGGATCTAACCATCTCACACAGAACCAACCATTATCAAACATTCACGACAGACACTTGAAATGGTTTAGAATCAAAAAGAATTCTGAATTCATTCAGAGCTCGCGCTCATGTCGTTCCAAACCTGAATGAACCTCAGTCCTTTCTTTCGTTGTATATACATGAACATTCAGCTAAAGCAGGGTTGGATTGACATGAGGGTGAGCAAATGATGAAAAATCAAAAGTATGAATATTACTAATTGTGTAGTATATTATTAATGAATAGTTTTTAGGTAAATGGTCTCTTTAAGTGAAGTGAATAAAAATATGTAAACCTTCTCAAAAATAAAATGGTAAATAATTATTTTGGGGACAGTTTTGTGCCCAGAAGTGAGTTAAACCTGACAGAATCTCCCAAAACCTCATTTTGGGGGCGTCTTCATTTGTAAAAATAGTATAAAAATAAATTAATAATAAAAAAAACATTTTAAATATATATGTGTGTGTGTGTATATGTGTATATATATTATATATATATTACAAATTATAAATAGTAAATACATTACTTTGGGGAATATTAAAAAATATATTAAAAAAATATTATTTATATTATACTATTATTTAAAATTAAATTTTATATATGTATCAAAAATAAAACCGTAAATAAAAAGGTAAAACAGAATGAAGCTGCCAACGGATTCGTTGCATTAGAATCCCTTCCGCTGCTGGTTTACGGCTCGTTTTCTGCTCATTAGCAGGTGAAACAAACACACAGATCACGGGAAAGTCTCATTCATTCTAGTGAATCAGTTTGTTCATTCAATAAATTTAAATTTTGATTATTATTATTATATTACTATTATAATTCACACACACACACACATACACACACATATATATGTATGAGTGTGCAGCTCTATGTGGGCGGCTGTAGATGTCAGATTCTCCTCAAAGCTGTTGGGCTTCCCCTGAACCACACAGACACACACACTCACACACACACACACACACACACACTCGCACACA